GAGGCTCAATGTGATTTATCTGTTTAAATAAAGGTTGAATGAATGAATTTATTGTTCATGCAGCGTTTGCATGACTGTTACATCTAAACTGTTGAATACACCAACGTCTCTTTGGAGCCTGGATTTGATTAGTTTTGCTCCTATATGCTAAAAAAGTGTGAGCAGCACAAAAACACTCTGCTCTCTGCCATTTATTATAACTCTTGTTATTTATTGTAACTGTTGTTATTTATTATAACTGTTGTTATTTATTGTAACTGTTGTTATTTATTATAACTGTTGTCAGTGCAGAGAAACTTTGGACTGCAGCCGCCTGGAGTGCACATGTGCGACCATACTTGTGCAGCATTTCACACCTCCATGGGGGATTCCCCGAAAATCTCCACTCTATAAGACCTGGATTCAGAAACGTTCAGTTTCAGAGGGAATGAGGCTGTTGTCTGTAAATGAACGGCCGAATGTTTCACGTTGTGTAAACGAGGCCTCAGACTGGCTGCTCTGTGTGTCAATCAAGAGACAAGTTTCATAGATGGATGATAAGCTGACGTCTATGCTTTTAATGCCAAGTGATCTACTATAAATACCTTTGAGATCGACCGGTAGATCGAGATCGATGTATGGGGCACCCTGGTCTATGAAATAATATAAGGTCCCCATGAACTGCTATGAAATTTTTGATTGAAGTCGTTTTAATATTTCTCCCATCCACTTTAATCTGGTCTGAATCCAGAATACTCAAATACTCGCCCATTTCTTTGGACTTAAACTATTTCTCCAAACAGGTTGATCAAAAATCTGACTAAAATCGTAAAATATGAAGCGTTCATAACTTTTTCACAAAACCCAAATTCAAAAAGTCCAAATCATACATTTAAAAGGCAATACAAATTCAGCATTACATCAAACATCTTAAAAGTTCCTCCTAAAACGTTTAAAGAATGAACACCTGCATTAAGCTTTATGGATGAAGAACAGGAAGTGGGATGAGAGCTTAAAATGAACAACTTTTAGGGAAATAAAGGTGACCAAATAAAACCATGACACAGTGTTCCTTAATCATCGTTATCTGGGATTATCTTGATAGGAATGGCAATTTTTCCCAGAACAATGTGAAGAGAACTCTCCTGGTTCTTTCTTTTCTTTGCAGACTTGAACCCTCCATTTAAGAGCCTCAGCAGATCCACAACACCAGACTGAGCTTTCTTCCTAGGCTGAGTGTTTGTAGAAGTTTTCCTCACACTGGTAGTCTTGGTTTTAATGGGAGCTGATGTTCTCTTTATTGTTGAGTCAAATTTGTTTCCAGCAGCGGTGGTGGAGTGGATATTTTCCATCCTTTGTGTTGGTCTGGTCTTCCTGACATTAGCATTATTTGGTTCTACGATTTCAGAGAAGTCATCAGAAGATTCTTTGGGCCTTTTCTCAGTTTGGCCCCAGTTTCCTTTATGTTGCTTTGACCATTTCTTTGAATTGTCTCGAATCTTCTTTTGAACAGGTGTACCTGCTCCAAATGACTCTTCATGTCCACTGTTTTTGATGAGCGGTGTAGAATGCAGTTTCTTGGCCTGGATGGACTGTTTATGCAGCTGCTGGGTCAGAGTCGACTTTGATTTGTGAGCTGGTGGCTCCAGCTGAAATTTAGTGACTGCTGCTTTTTGTTTAGCTCTCCTGGATTTTGTTTTCCTTGGCTGTGAATCATGTTTGGCTGTGACAGACGACCTCTGACCCAGTGGCCTTTTTGTTTCAGGCTTTAGAGGAGGTTTCACTGTAGCCTTTGGAACAGATTGAGGTTTACCAAGGGTGGTCTTTGGTTTGACTGTTTGCCCTGATGTGACTTGACTTTTGGATGTTGTGGACTTTGTAGAACTTTTAGACTCTGACTTCAGATTTCCAGAAACTTGTCTTTGTTTGTTTATGAGAAGACTTGGGGAGGGTTTGCTTTGGGGCACCGTGGCTCTGTCAGTGAGTGGTGACTCAGGAGATGTAGCTCTGATCATAGATGGAGGTGTTGAATCAGCAAGAACTGTGGTAAGTGGAGACAAAGGAATATTTTCTTGGGGCAAACGAGAATTATGCCTCACACGTTTCATCCTGTTCATCTCCTGAGCCAGAGCAGTGAAGCCATCAATTAGAATCTCCAGCCGTCCCTCCAGTTGTTTAAGCCGAGCCTCCACGTCTGTGTAGCTCCTCTCAAGCTCAGTGGCCCTCTGCTCCTTCTCTCGGGTAAAACGGATCATGATAAGCTCCTTCAGCTGGGAGTTCAAATGATTTTTCTGGATCTCCATACTTCGAATGCCCTCCTTCAGATCAAGTGTGTTGCTTTCAAGCATGCTCAGGCGCCTATTGAAAGTGTTCAGGTGAAGCCGGATGAGGTGCTGAAAGCTGGTGTGTCTGCTTTCTGGACTGGGTTTGAAGCGTGGTGGGAGTCTGGGTGCTGGTCTGTTGGAGCCAGCACCAGTAGGTGTAGTCGATTCTGTAGAGTCATGGTCAGATGGTGTAGAACGTAAACCCCTCATAGGGACGGCAGTTGCTCCAAGCATGATAACTGGACCAGCATCTTCATCATGAGTCCCATCATCTCCACTGCCATAGGGCACAATCTCTCCATCCCCACTCAAATCAAACACCGGTTCTGCTCCACATCCCACAGGCAGGAAGCCATTAAAGTTCTCCTCATGAAAGGGTTCCCCACATTTGTCTGCTGGCGGCGTTTCTTCTCTTAATACCAAAACAGCACAATCAGGCTCGATGCAGGCAGACGCTACAGCACAATGAACAACCCTGAGCCAGTGTCACCCGCTCATCTTTGCCCTCCAGTAGCAAAGATTCAACAGCCAAACAGGAGTCCTCATAAATGCCACATTTCACATTTATGATCCAGAAGATGCAGAACATGTGGCCTTTGAGCAGAAACATTTCACACCTTACAGTTTCACTACCAGCAAAGAACAGAGCTGAAGCAAAAAGCATCCTCTCATAAAGAAAGCACCAGTAAAAAAAATAAATACACTAAACTAAAAAACAGCCAAGCTAAAGGTTTCCTCTGGCCAGATTTATTTGTTCCACAAACAAAACATGAATATATTCCTTATATCACCAAATATATCCAATTCTACAAGAGAGATGTATTTTTTGACCAAGCAACATAAATTCATACATAAACCAAACCATCAATAAATAAATAAATAAAATACAACCTTAATTCTGATAAAGTTAGGATGATGTGTAAAAGGTAAATGGACTGTACTTGAATATCTCCTTTCTATCTTATTGAGATACTCAAAGCTCTTTACAACAATCTGTGTCCTCATTTACCCATTCATACAGCACTCTACTAGACCAATACAAAAAATAATCAGAGCTTTATCACATTCATACTCCGATGAGGGGTTCAATGTCTTGCCAAGGGACACTTCAGCATGTGACTGCTGGTGGAATTGAACCACCAACTCTCGCATTGGAGGACGACTGCTCTAACCACTCAGCCACAGCCGCCTCTTTTACCATTTATTCCTGGTAAATGAATGCAGAATGTACTGGTTTGTTAATGTGATAAACTTGCCTTGTACTCTGAGCACAGATTTATCCAGGCTCTTAAAAACTTTTGAAGATACAGTAGGCCCTCGCTACTTCGCGGTTCGTTTTGCATGGACTCGCTCTATTGCGGTTTTTCAAAGTAAGATCGGACATGACACAATTGGCTGATGGATGGATGAGCCTCACAATTGACATGAATTTTTTTTTTAATGAATTACTTTAAATCATTTAGCCCCTGCTGCACAGGTCTGTGTGCAGCCCACAGCTGCGGAGAAGCTTCCTCCTCATATCACCGCTCTGCAGTGGAGAAGTGGGCATGGCCAAGAGCGCTGGCAGGTGGCAGAGAGCCTTCGCGGCTTTTCACTTATCACCGGGCTTCAAGGTACGGATTCCCGCGATAAATGAGGGGACTACTGTATTATGAACTGTAGATGATGGAGTTTACAAAGTTCCCTTAATTTTTCACTGAGGAACATTTTTCTAAAATAGTTTCATTTTACAGACTTTATTTATTTATTTATTTATGCATGCATGCATGTATGTATGTATGTATTGATTGATTGATTGAACGAGGCAAATCCACTGAGATCACAGATTTTATTTTTTATGGGGGGCCTGAAGGCGGCCTAAACATGCAGGTTTATGGACTGTGGGAAGAAATTCATGCAAACACAAGGAAACATGCAAACTCCACACAAAAAGACCCCAGGTCCAACAAGGGGATTGAACCCAGGACCTTCTTGCTGTGAGGCAACAATGCTAACCACTGAGCAGTTGTTCTGACCAGACTGGTTAACCTCTGTCCATCTTGACTTCTGAGATAATAAAATATCCTTTTTGAGAGAATAAAATACCCTTTTTATCCCCAAGTCTTCTTACTGACCTGTTGCCACTTAACCTAATTCATTGCTAAATGCTCCTCAAGCTGTTTTTTGTACCATTTAGTTTTACTGTCACAACCTTTGTCAGATGTATTCCTGTTGTTCCTGCCATTGAATTATAAATTACCTCAACCCCCCATCCCTTTAAACATTTGATATGCATACTTTACTCCAATACAGAAAAATATGTGTTTAAGAGATCTGCTAACAGTGGACTCTGATTCTTTTCTGTTTTTAACATTTTACACAACCTCCCAACTTCTTCTTATTAGGGTTGTACAACTTTTCAGAAAGGATATAAAAAAGAGAAGCTGTAAAACTATGAGGGAACATTAGCAATTTAGTGACACAAACCTGCATCTCCAGTTCATTCTCTGACACATTCGATTGCAAATGCCAAGTCAGAAATAACAGATACAGACTGCAGACGAGCCCATATTTCATTTCTTGGTAATGAGGGAACTAATACAGCCCCCTGCTAACCATCTGCCGGCCAGCCAGTGATCCCGACAGAAAAAAGTGATGGAAGATGAAGCAAATGAAGAAAAGGGGAGGCAAAAAGAAAAAAAGAACAGAACTGGGTACCTTTCACAGCGTCTTCCAGTGAATCCAGTGGGACATCTGTCACAGACTGGCTCACCGTTGACACCCCGATGACACACTGAAGAGAATCTGTGCACAAAAAGGAGGTCAAACACAACTTGCACATTGTTGTAATCGCAAAACAAATGTGTTAAAACTGTTTTGACTGGAAAAAGACCCCTAAAAAAGTTATATATGAACATACTGGTTGCTGGGACTGACTCCAGGACAGGGGCAGGGCTGACAGGGCTGACCCCTCACAGGGTCTCCATAGAAACCACTCAGACAGTTCTCACATCTGTCTCCAGTCGTGTGATGAAGACATTGCTTTAGAAAACACAAACATAGGAAGAGGTGGTGAGAAATTTGGAACAGCCACACACAGTACATGTTGGAATGGGCCCAGAAATCCTCTGCACATTCCAGCACTGAGATGAAGGCGGGGTGGGCACAGATGAAAGGTTCAGAGGCGAGGAAGAGGAGCACAGAACCTACCAGACACCTGCCGGTCTCTGGGTCGCAGCTGCTGGAGTGACCATTGCAGTTGCACCTCTCACACGTGCCCAGGTAAAGACCCGAGGTGGTCCGTGTGTAACCGTCATCACACTCCTGGAACAACGCACGGAAAAACACGAGGTGTGAGCCGTGATGTCTTTGTTCCACTGCAGCTGGGAGACTGTAATTATCAGCTGCTAATGGAAAACAGTTTTATTTGAAACAAGCTCAGGCACATCACTGCTGTACCAGCTGTTTTTTATAAACCTGATGCAGAAATGATGTTTAATTAAAGTTAGTATGCATGTATCGGCCTCAAACGCCCCACCTCTGACAGTCAAAGTAAATAACACCAGTCATCTCAGTAGAAAGCAGCTTTCGGCTTGAAGCCTTGGGAGATGTGGAAATTAAAACAAGGACCTTATCTGACAAACTCAGTCTTCTTCTTCGTTCAGCTTTTCCCTCTTCAGAGGTCTCCACATCAAGTCATCCTCCTCCATCTCTGTCCTCTGCATCCTCTGTCGTCACTCCAACTACCTCCATGTCCTCTCTAACTGCATCCATATATCTCCTCTTTGTCTTTTTCCTGACAAACTGACAAACTCCGTCAGATGTGGTAAAACTGGATTCTGTCTGCCATGACTGCTGGTGAACACATCACTTTAAGAGACCTTTTCCCTTACTGTAAATAAACGTGCTGGTTTTATAGTAAAATACTTGACTTTTTTTGTTGTAATGGGAATTTATGCCCATCTTTCACTTCCCTGTAGCATATAAAGTGTTTATGAGCTCTGAAATGATGCCCACTGCTGGAAACAAATAACTGATTAGCAGTAGATCATAAACTTCATGAGCATTTAGAAATGCGTCCAACATCTGCAGAACGATCAATGTGCAGTCATGGAAAAATGTCCACCTTCTTTCAGTTCTGCAATTTTACTTATGGGTGCAATTAAATGTTCTGGTCTTTACCAGGTTTGACCTTGGAGTAGCTACTGATGCTCTAAATCAAGTTGAGATGGATCATAAAAACCGACCATCCGTTCATCACAAAGAGACAAACACACACCTAGGGACCATTTAGAGTTACCAATCAGTCTAACATGCATGTTTTTGATCTGTGGGAGGAAACCTACGTATGCACAGTGAGAGCATGTAAACCACACAGACATGAATACGAAAGTATTCTAGAGTTAAGCGTCACCTGTCCTACAGGTACAAGATGATAACAACCCCAAGCACACCAGCAGTTCTACAACAGAGTAGTTGCAGAGTTCAAAAGTATGAAGGTGTTGCATTAGTCCAAACAATTGCAACAACTGCAGCTGTGTAGAAAAAAAAAACATCTGCAAAGCTCAGTGATCTGAAGCAATGCTGTAAAGAAGAGCGAGTCAAAATTCCTCCACAACCATGAGAAACTGAAACAACCACTAGTGAAACTTCTGGCTTTTAAAGGTGGTTCTACAAACTGAATCACAGAATGGACTTCCACTCAGAACATTTCCATTCTGGTTTCATTTGACAAATACTGACATGGTCAAATCTGCTGAGTGGTTCTGTACAATTCAGGCTGGAGTCCAATCATTTTAGAACCCCGTAAAGACCAGATCATTTTCATTATGTCCAGATACCAACAACCCTAAAATTCCTAGAGGTGGACTTTCTTTTTCTCCTGACTGTATTTGTGGACAGACTGTTTCTGAGGTTCAGAACAGTCTGCAGGGTCCATTACATTCTCTCGTCTAAAATATAGAAGGTAACGTCTGTCAGGAAGCTGCGTGTATCATGCTGTATTAGTGTCTTTACTCGTGCACACCAGCCTGTGCACTGGCAGCCCTGCAGAGTCAGAGCTGGTGTGACTCATGCTTCTACTTTGTGAATAAGTTAATTTATAGTACTCTGCAAACATCACAGTCAAACACTTACTGGTTCAAATCACGTCATAAAAAAGGGAAAACCCACAAAACATGAGTATACATGGTAAATATAGTTTGTATATATAAATTTTAACAAGGTGGAAAGTCCATATTTGTTCTCATCATTATTCTTCAGCATAGTGTGAACTTAATACGTTTTGTACATTTTATAGGAATTAATTTCCACGGTTCGTTTTAAAGGATATTTTAAAGCTTATTTGAGGATGATGGCTGCCTTTGGAGGATTTTCAATCAAGAATGCTGATGTGTGTGTGGGGGCTCTGAGGAGCTACATAACTGTCTGACTCAGTTTCACTGTGTTTTCAAATGGTCTTTGCCTTTTAGACTCCTTCCAGATGTTTGCATGGGGGATCAAACTCCTGCTGCATTTTGGTTTTGATAAAATCCTCAACGTTTCTGAGTGAAATGCAGCTCCAGCTCATGTTCACCGTGCTTCGCAGGCAGCAGGAGATACAGTAGTAACTGTTTCACCCCTCTCAGGATACATTTCGACTGCAGTTTGAACTAAAAACTGCACTTTTAAAAGACCTGTTTTCAGAAAAAGGCTTTCTTAGAGGAGCTCCTGTAGAATATGACCAGCCTGCCCCCTATTTAAACTTCTTGATGACCAGCTACAGAACTGCCTGACTCCTATGAAGGTGTTTTTAATGAAGCTTTAATTGATCATTAATGATGATGTATCTCTCAGGACCTCAGTCAAGTTTTTGTAGTTAAATTATGCTTTTGTTTTTCTAAAGAGCTCTTTAGGAATCAATGTTTTGATGTCAAAACACTCATACTATTGTTGGGTGATTTCCACAACTTACCCTCCAAAACTGGACGTAATTCAGTTAATTTTGTAAAGTAACTATCTCACTATACAATTTAAGGTTGGTTAGTTCAGTGTTAATTGTCTTAAACAAGAACAAGACAGGTCAAAAGATGATCTGAACACTGCAATGGACTGACATTAAGTTGATAAAGCAGCCACCATCCTTAAAAAAAAGTCCTGCCTTTCTGCATAAGTTTTAACTCATTGGAGAAAAAAACAAATAGTATGAAATGTCCACTGTCACTGAGGAAATTTCTCTAGGTCTTTTTTCTTGTGTTTTGCTTGTTCGAGGCGGTGCAGACTGCAGAGTGATGGATCCTGGCGAGTGGAGGGAGAAATTTGATCTATGACCACCAAAGATAAATCTTTGGCCACCCCAATCATTTGAGGAAATTAAACTTGTATATTATTATACTTTATATATATGGCAGCATTCATCTTGGATTTTGAGGTGGCAGCCCAGTTTTTAAAAGGAAACTTTCTTACATCTAGATGCAGCCACACACCAAAGTGGAAGTTGGTATCTCAATAATTTTTAAAGTTATGCGCACAACATGCACGGATGGACAGACAGATGAACAGATGGACGGGCTGCTTTTTCTAATTCGCTCTGAGATGGGGACAGAAATGGATGAAATGAGGAGCGGCCAAAGTCTTTTACATGATCCTGTAAGCCTGCATCTATTTCCTTTGACATCAGGAGACAAAGATTGTTCAATCGTTCCAAAGAAAGAAAACTGTCATGAGTTAAAACTGAAGAAGAAAGATGTTGAATTCTTAAATACTGCAAATACTTGAAAAATTAGGTTTTAGTTTCAATGTACCGCAATTTTCGCTGTATAAGTCAGTTTTTTGCATAAGTTAGCATGCTGTGACTTATAAATAGTAACTGGACTGTACTTATAAAGTGCCTTTCTATCTTATTTCAAGACACTCAAAGCACTTTACACTACAATCTGTGCCTCATTTACCCATTCATACAGCAGTCTACTAGATCACTACAAAGCTAATTGAACAAATCATTCTAAAGAGACTAATCAGTGTTTTAGATCACATTCAGACACCGATGGGACACACATCAGAGGCTATGTGGGGTTCAGTGTCTTGCCCAGGGACACTTCGACATGTAACTGCAGATGGATTCGAACACCCAACTCTCGCATTGGAGGACGACTGCTCTAACCACTCAGCCACAGCTGCCCCTAATACAGAGAAGTGATGCATTTTTGTTAATTTCCCCATATTTATAACCCAATTTCTGGCTGAGATGTGACAATTTCATTCATTCTGACATGGAAAATTTTGAACTCTACCATTTTCAGCCACTAGAGGACCGTCAACTAATATGGCAAGCCAAGTGTCTCATTAATAGGTAAAAGTGGCTATTAGTGACACAGTTGGCTTGCCATACTCCACCTTCATCTCGCTCCAGAACTCCTGGAGCAAACGTCACATCAGCTGCATTTCACCACACAGCCCAGGTGAAATACAGCTGATGTGACCATGAAAGTGCATTTATTAAGGAAAAGTTAGACAGACACACCTTTACTATGATGTTGAGCAAACAAATAATTGTTTTTAGGTGGTTATCTTGTTAAATTCTTGTTCAAGTCCTCACGTGCACGCTCCCGCGGCCGCCATTTGGCAGCCAATTGATTTTTGGCACAACACCGACTCACAATTCTGGGTTGTCAGTGATGACGCATAATAGATGCGACTTATACGGCGAAGCAACATAATTTTTTTCCTCCTCTTTATTAGAAATATTTGGACTGATGCAACTTATACGGCAGTGTGACGTTAACGGCGGCAAGTATGGTAAGTTATTTTGAACTCTACGTAACTACTTAAATATTCTTTCTCATGTCATTAATTTATTGACGTAAAGTTTTGAGCTTATACAAGAATATGAGAAAAGATTTGGATTCAATGCCGTCTTTCTGTTTAGAGTTATTAATCAATCCAACCAGCTACCTGGCAGGATGGTCCTCTGTACCCCTGCGGGCAGGCACACTCCTCCACCTCCACAGCTTGTTGGTGACCCGTCGAATGAGGAACAGCAACATCCATCTTGATATCGGAGATGCTACGTGACACAAAAAAAGGATAAAAACACTCATTTGTTTAGTTTACTATAAATATTTTTTTACAAAGGAGACTGCATTGCACGTTTTCAAAATATTTTCCCACATTACCTGGTTTCAACCATACTGTCTGCATATGTGGCTCTAATCATGAAGACGGCAACGTCAGCCAGGGCCATCAGCAGGTGCTCACGAGTGCACGGCTGACCGTCAGTGCGCTGCCATTCCGCCTGGCAGCAAACACAAGAGTGACTATAGACACGCCAACGCATCGTAAACCTTCAGGCTTTATGTGAACAGTGAAACACACCTCTCTGAACGTCACTGTGACAGTTTGCGGCAGCCATGGCTGAAACTTTGTCTGAGAGAAGTGCTCCAGGAAGATGTTGTTGCCTTGGAGAACCACGTCTGGGCGCCCGTCGATCACCCGCGAGCGCTGATACGGCTCAAAGCTCACTGTGTAGCGCAGCTCTCCACCGTATGCTGTCACCTGTCGGCAAACGTGACGAAAAGAAAAACATATTTCAACAAAAGCACAGAGTGGAAAGACCTTTCATTCTGTTGATCGTGTGAAGTCATAAGACTCCAAGGAAGAATTCATGAAGGTTTCTCTGTCTTTTCATGCTACATGTTGAGGCCTGTCTCTCTTCCTGCTCTTTATGTGGATGTTTTCTCACCTTATCTCCTCTGAAGCTCTCAGGCAGCACCCAGTAGTAGACGTCACTGGAGCTGCCCGGCAAGGGCCGGTAGACGACTGCAGAGCCCCTCTGGTCCATCCCCTCAGAGATTGTTTTAGTGTTGGTGCTGTCAGTGAGGGAGATCTGCCCGATGACTCCTCCTCGGACCTGAGAAATACAAACAGCAGCTACAACAATCTGGTATAGATGTACAGTCAATGATTACTTTCTGAGAGTTCCATTAAAATTTGTCATTTGTTCATTAAATATTTTCATTACAGACAAACAGGCAGGTGAGAAAAGGTATGTCATGGGGCCGTCTCTTGCAGTTCAGAGTGCTGTCCACTGACATGCATCATAAAATCAGAAACTACAAAAACTACAAAAATATCAACAGGCTGAATCACAAGGTGAAACTCAAATGACTCGGGACCAAACGGTGCTTGAACTGTGTGTCTAGCTAAAGATTTAAAAGCAGCGAGCTTTCAAAGACCACAAGTCTTTAGACATTGTTTCCTAGGAGGTTACATTTTTGGGATAATTGCGTCACCATGGTAACTCAAAATATCATCAAAAAGAAAAGCACACATCCTACAACCAAGCTGCTAGCTTTGATCTACATTTTGTGTATATATATTATATTTTATATATATATATATATAATATATATATATATATATAGCATGCATCAGGACATGTATATGTGTGTATGTATATATCATGTGCATTTTAGCTTATATTATGACCTTGAAATAATTATTTCATTCAAATTCATCCTGTTGCAGCATTATATTCTACCATGGTGTTGTTCAATATCTCTCTTTAGGACATTGTAAATATTATAATAACTTTTACACTTATTGCTACTTTTTTTGAGGTACCCTTATTGCATGCTTTTAGTATTTCTTGCTGATTTGTTCTTTGATTTTTTTTAGCAAGTCAAATTGGTTCTTCTCATCCTAAGGATTTCATTGTACTGTTAACCCTGTGTTAACCTTGCATATGACAAATAAACACAACTTGAACTTGAGTGGCCACATTCTTCCATTTAAGCCCAAATAAATGTGATTAAAGGGATTGTCTGGTGATTTTGAATTGGTTATCAATACGTGACATCACTCAAAGAGCACTGAGTATCTAGAAAGTGGTAAATGTCATCATCAATGTCATCAGACTATGTGTAGCTTACGGATAACTATTTCATAGAACATTTTACCTTTTATTTATACAGGTCATCTCATTCAGCCATGATAACTCATTTTCAAGAAAGACCTGTTTATTGAGCAGATGGGGGTTAATGGCCTTGCTCATGGGCCCAGAGTGGGGCGAATGAGGGTGGGGCAGGTGTGGGTGCTTCACCTACCCCACCCACATTTTTGAAGTTGTCAGTACTGGGGCTTGAACCGGCGATCTTCCGATCACAGGCCCACCTTCTCTAACCTCTGCGCCACCACTCCCCAACATAACAACAACAATCACCAGACTATCCCTTTAATAATAATAAAGGAACCAGTTTAGATGTAGAGATGTTGTTTACTGTTGAAATGTACAGACTGTGCAGTAAATCACCTCCTTTCTGCTCCACGAGGAGCTGGCACACTGTTTGGTGACGCCCATGCAGAAACAGCGCAGGCAGCCATCAGGGTTGGACTGTGAGAGGTGGAAGAACCCCGGCTTGCACTCGTCACACAGAGCGCCTGCCACGTTGTTCTGCAGCGTAAACATAAAAACAAAATATCATGCACATATGTAATCCATCTGCATGGTGTGCCTGCTATTCCCTCCATGATAAACAACAGCAGGAAAAAAAAGAGCATCCATACCTTGCAGCTGCACAGCGCGCTGCCGGAGCTGATGGTTCCTCTGTTATCACAACTGGAGCTGCTCTCTGCAGGGAGAGGACAGCGGAAACAAGATGACTTATAGGCAGAGACGTGCACCTGGGAGTGCTCCGACCCGGCTGAATACCTGAGCCATGATCACACCCTACTGTAATGCAAGGCTGTCAATCATTACAAAGGGTCATGACCCCTGAAGTCATTCCAGAGCTGCTTCTGCTCATTTATTCTTGCCTGCAGTGTGTGTAACAAATAAAATAAAATAATGATAAACACTGAATCTGAACATGGACTCACGGTTGGGAACACATTTTCCATTAGGAAGAAGGGGGTTACCATGGTAACCAGAAGCACACCTGTAATAAAATGAAATAACAAAAAATTATATACTAATTTCTTATTCTCTCAGTCGTATTAATAGTCTACTTTGAAGGTATTAATGTTTTATAAATGTATCGTCAACAACAGCTTGCTCACTTTTCACAGCGTCTTCCTGTGTAGCCGGGCCTGCAGGCGTCACATGTCGGCTGCTGGTCAAAGCCCAGGAAGCAGGTGTCAGAAAACCTAAATGAAAGGGTCACAAATGGCAGACAGAGTGAGATGTGTGTTAAATGAATAAAGTGAAAATATGTGACTGAGTTTATCTTGTTGGAAATAATCCAGTAAAGACCTGTGGTCCACCTGTGTGTACTGGAGGTGTGTCACCTTACCGACGCGAGGTCTCAGTGTATGGACAGGCGCAGGGCTTGCAGTCGTCGGGACGACCCCGGCTCGGGTCACCAAAGAACCCTGGGCGACACTTGTCACACTGGGGGCCCTCTGTGTTGTGTTGGCAGCTCTGTGGGGGAGAGCACACACACACGGATCATTCTACCATGATGCCACGCAAAGTTTCATGTGGAGGATATGTCCCCATTGTTTCTGGAACACTAATTATACACTATAACCAGAGATACTTGAACTCCTCCACTTGAGGCAGAACCTCACCCTCGACTTGAAGAGAACAATGCACTCTTTTCAAGTTGAGGATCATGGCCTCACATTTGGAGGTGCTGATTCTCATCCTGGACGCTTCACACTCGGCTGTAAACCGCTCCTGTGAGAGCTGAAGATCATGGCACAATGATGCCAACAGGACCACATCATCTGCAAAGAGCAGAGATGGAATCCTGAGGCCACCGAACCACCCCCTGGCTGCACCAAGAAATTCTGTCCAAAAAAGTTATGAACAGAATCTGTGATAACAGGCAGCCCTGGAAGAGTCCATCTCCCACCCTGAAGGGGTCTGACTTACTACCAGCGATGCGAACCAAACTCTTGCACCACTTGTATAGGGACTGAACAGCCTGTAACAACGGGCCCCCAATCCCATACTCATGGAGCACCCCCCACAGTTTACCTCGAGGAACACGGTCGAAAGCCTTCTCCAAGTCCACAAAACACATGTAGACTGGATGGGCAAACTCCCATGACCCCTCAAGGACCCTAGTGAGGGTAAAGAGCTGGTCCATTGTTCCACGGCCAGGACAGAACCCACATTGTTCCTCCTAGATCTGAGGTTGGACCAACGATCTGTCTCACTTCTCCAGTACCACTGAATAGACCTTACCAGGGAGGGAGGCTAAGGAGAGTGATGCCCCTGTAATTAGAGCGCACCCTCCGGTCCCCCTTTTTGAAAAGGGGAACCACCACCCCCAGTCTGCCAGTATAGTGGCACTTCCCCCGATATCCACGTGATGTTGCAAAAATGTGTCAACCAAGACAGCCCCACAACATCCAGTGCTTTAAGGAAATGCTTGCTCAGGATGGGAGACTGTGACGTAGTGTAGATTCAACGTGTCTGCTACTTCCTCAGGTAGAGAACTTTACTTATTTACTTTTCTATGTATGTGAATGTTTCTATAAAGTGCCCTGAGACAACTTTGTTGTGAATTGGCGCTATATAAATAAACTGAATTGAATTGAAACTGAATTGAAATCAGGGTGAATCTCATCCACTCCTGGAGTCCTGCTGCCTCTGAGCTTTTTAACTACCTCGGCGACCTCAGCTACAGTTATGGACAGACCAACACCAAAGTCCCCGACTCAATTTCCTCCATGGAATACATGCCGGTGGGATCGAGAAGGTCTGAGAAGTATTCCTTCCACATCCCGAAGGAATACCACCTCTCAATACTGAGTCAAGGTAAAGTTGGCAGCTTGTCTCCAAAGGTCACAGCCCATGACCTTTGAAAACATTCCCGACAGAGTTCCCCCTTACACAAGGATAGTTTAAAATCTTCTAAAAAATATCAGATTGTGTTGTTTTTTAACATCTACTGTCATATTTAAAGTGAAAAGGCCTGTTCAGCGTCAGTTCTTACCAGACAGTGTCCACTGATTGGATCGCAGGCCGTTGCATGTCCATTACAGTTACAGCCAGCACAGGTGCCAAGGTATGAGCCGCCGGGGACACGCTCAAAACCAGTCGAACACATTTCACAGGACAGGCCCGCATATCCAGGAGGACAGCTGTAAATGAGAAATATAAGCATCCTCATCCAAGGTAATGACAACACAAGGCAGATTACAGCATCACAAACTGTAAACTGGCTCAGTGCAGAAAATTAAGAGCAGCTGTGGGACTAGCTGCCAAACCTGACGAGAATCAGACGCAGCGATGAAATCTGGTTGGAGTCAGTCCCCCCAAAATCACATCATGTGACTATTTCTAAAACGCAGCCAGTCGTATTTATGAAATCAGTCATCTTAGGAACTGTTCCATTTATGATTATATATTTCAGGATTATATAATTCAGAGCTGTGCACTTTTTACGTGCACAGTGGGTTGTGAAAGTATTCGCTCCCCTCTGTTTTGTTGCCTTATAACTTGGAATAATGAAGAAATTTTGAGGGGGAGTTATTTTGCGCAACATAACAATCCTGCTGAAGATGAGCAATATTTTTTATTGTGAAACAAACAGTAAAAAAGACAAAAGAATGAATGTATACCCCACCCCCCCACACACACACACATGCACACATGCGCACACACACACACACACACACACACACTAGTGGAGTGGAGCTTTAGTGGGGTGTTTATGGTCATTTAACTTTCAAGCTTAGGTTTTTTTTATTATCATTAAACATTTTATTGTAAGTTCATTACTTATATAGACAATACATTCTATTTATTTAAATTTTTTAGGTAGTAAGGCAACAAAACAGTGAACACTGTTGTAAGTCTCTGTAAACATGGTCTGTGAGCATTGGGGGGGTGGGGGGTGCTTCTGATTGCTGACAGGTTTATCTCACTAAACCCCTCCAGGTCTTTTCTTGCCTGCATTCCTCAACATCCTTAGCGTGACCCAGAGTGCTGAACTCCACGGTGGTGGTATCCATGACGATGTCGCTGAGCCCCACACTGACCATGTGGTTGTCGTAGATGGTGCGGATGCTGATGCTGTCCAGGTTGGCCAGCGTCATCAGCAGCTCCTGGCGGCTCACAGGCTGACCGTTGGAATGCTGCCAGCGGTCCTGAAACATGGAGCAGCAGATTTAACGTCTCGCTGAGTGTGTAATTATTTTGAACCTGTTTTAACCAGAGCCTTACTTCAGTGAAGCGGATGTGTTTCTGGCTGACCACATTGGGAGGGGTGTTGCTGTTCTCTCTGTGGTACAGAAGCCTGCGCCCGTTTCCCATCAAAATCACGTTGGACCTGACCACCTGCTCAGACAGGCCACGAGCCAGCGTGTACCGCACCTTGTACTTCAGGGATCCTCCATAGGAATCGATCTAAAGGCAGATAGAAGGACTTTTATTGTTTTTTCTGTTTGCTTCACACAATCTAACTACTTTTGCACACTTTGTTATTTTAGATTTTCATGTTTCAAAACAATCATCTCATTTGGGAGATGAGGACTATTATTTTGTTTTTTATAACTTTTGTCCTTTTCAAAATGTTTAACTTTACCTGCAGGTATTTTTATTTCACAGAAATAAACTGAAATTTCAGTTCATTCAAAAACATTTTTATCTCTAAAAATCTGGTTCAGTAGATTTGCTCTACTGTTGTCTTTTTGTGCTACTTTTAATTTTCAGCTAGCTTTTTGCTACTTTTAGCATTTAGCTTGCATTTTGCTACTTTTGCTACAAGATAGCCCTTGGTACTTTTAGCTAGCCCTATGTTACATGTAGTTTTTATTCAAAAAGCATTCGATACAAAAACAACTGGACTTTATTTGTAACAGAAGACGTTTCGCTCCTCATCCGAGGAGCTTTCTCAATTCAAAGAGCAGTGAGTGAGAGATTCAGGTTATAAGGCTGAGTGAGACAAGCATAGGCGTAGCCAGGATTTTATGAGGGGCGGTTCGTTTGAAGAAAAAGTGGACCTGTAGGACTACTCTGATTGGTTCATTGGCGGTGGTACACATAACTTCAAATGTGTAAACAAGCTAATTAGCTAGCTAGTTAAAACACTGCTGTGTGAGGTAAATCTGTGTTACCAAATAGGCGGTTGTGAGTGGAGAAAGAGCAACACACTGAGAGGGGAATAGCGTGTGTGTCCAGTCTTCTATTCAGAACTCATCCCAGACACGAACGAACACTTCGGTACTCCCGAGTCCCGCCCGAACATACACACAAAAAAAAAAAAAAAACACCGAAGAAGAATGAAAGACGTCATCCTCTTAAAGGCACAGTACCACTCCTTAACTCTAACAACATAAATGCAAACTAAGCCCGCAAATAATAACATTACTTCAATTGCAAAAATAACTCATCTTTTTTACTTTGCTTTGTTAGACATTGTTTTTTATGAATGAAATTACTTCACCTCGCAGTTCTATATCTCGCGGGAGTTGTAGGTGGGACTTCATTGGCAAAGTGGGCGGTTCGTTCGAACCCCCCGAACCCCCCCTGGCTACGCGCATGGACAAGACACACACATATGTAGATTTGACAAGTCACACCTCCACACCTTAACAGTAGGGGGGGTTTCAGTAGGTGTGGAGGTGTGACTTGTCAAATCTACATATGTGTGTGTGTCTTAGCTCACTCAGCCTTATAACCTGAACCCCTCATTCACTGCTCATTGAATTGAGAAAGCTCCTCGGATGAGGAGCGAAACGTCTTCTGTTACAAATAAAGTCCAGTTGTTTTTGTATTGAACGCTTTTTGAATTCATCATGTCCTGGATGACCGAGAATCTTCACCAGCACATCTAGTTTTTAGCTACCATTTTGCTGCTTTTAGCAAACCTTTTACTACTTTTAGCTTTAAGCTGACATTTGTCAAAGTCAAAGTTTTTTTATTTGTCATTCCACCGCATGTGGTACATGTGGTGGAATGAAATTGTATACCCAGGGTCCCAGCTACATCCAACAAAAGTATAAACTGTAAAGGAAAAACGGTGATAAAATCTAAGATATGAACTACGAAATATGCTAAACTAAGAAACACGCTAAGCACTAGTAGTATAAAAACAATATGCCGGACAACAGCAGCACGAACATGAGACTGTGTGAGCAGATGAGTACTTGTACCAGATGAGTATTTGCTTACTTTAGCAAGTATTTTGGTACATTTAGCTTATAGGTAAGCTTTTAAATGAACTCCTAGCTACTTTTTTCTACTATTAGCAAGTATCTTGCTATGTTTAGCTTTACCTAGCATTTTGCTGCCTTTAGCTTTGAGCTGATTTTGTACATTGAAACTTTATGTTAGCTTTACAATTCTTTTAGCTTTAAAACTCAGTTTCAGTTCCTTCAGCACTCCATGTTCAGACTGTACTTTGAAAGTGTAATTTTTCTCATATTAAGCTGTGACTGATCGTGTCATTTTTAAACAAGCTGGAAGGCGTTTAGAGACGTACTTTGTTGCCTAGGAACTGGCGAGGCAAGGTCCAGTAGGACTCGAGGTTGAGGAAGCGTCGTGAAAGGTCGACGAGCTGGAACTCCTCCATCTCGGGGTTGATGAGGAGCTGAGTGGAGGAGAGAGGAGGAGTGCCCGGTCTGGAGGGGTAACTAACATTTACACCTGCAAAAGACAAAGCAGCAGCTTTCAGTCATTTCACGTTTGAACTTCAGGTGACGGCGTGTTTGGTTTTCTTTGTGCATTAAAAGCTTCGGTGCCTTTGAAGTTCTCCTCTTCGGTGAAGCGCAGGCTGATCTGGTGGCGGTAGCGTCCAGTGTTCTTGCAGTTGTTGGCGATTCCAGCACAGAAGCAGAGGACGCAGCGGCCGTCCACGCTGAAGTGACCACTGGGACAGTTGTCTAGAAGTGAAGGGAGAAGACGAAGAACTTCATGTCTGTTCTCACAAATGGTTTGTGGTCAAAACTGCTTCCTCTGTCTGGATTCTCAGTGCTTCCAGTACCTGGGTTAAGATTTCCTGTGAGAGTTAAAACTCCATCAGGGATGCCAAACACCATGCCTTTAGCATTGATGGCCTCGCAGCTGTACGCCCCCTGGTCTGACTCTTTCACGTTGTGAATGGTGAGGGTGCCGCGGCCGTTCTGATTGGTTATGGAAAACCTGAGCAGCAAAAAGCACAAACAACTGCTTTCACAGCAAGAAACTCACTTTTAATTTCACCAAGGCAAAGAAACAAAACAACGGGCACGTTCTGATTGCACAGAGTGAGCTTTAGAAAACTCAGTAAATTCCACTGTAATGGTCTAACCGCACTCAGCAGGCGCTCTGACAGTGAAGAGCCTGAAACCACAACTGTCGACGTTGGAGCGCACAGCAAATATCTCTGTAATTAAAATCACAGGCACAGAAACATGGAGTCAGCACTGACACACTGATGAAGGTGGGCTCGGTCTCAACTAAACAACTGTCAGCTGAAAAAATAAGTAAATACATTCAGGAACACAGTTTGTTACAGAAAAGAAATGACTTTCATTAGTCCAAAAACGACTTGAATCGTCAACAAAATCAGCTTCAAAGAAATTTAAAAATACTAATAAATTGTGTCACCAAAGACTACAGTATATTATGTCCATACCGGTTTTCTTTTCTTTTCTTTTCTTAACCATTATTTTACCAGAATGGACATTAAGACCAGTTTCCTGTCCAGAGCCCCTGTCCCCTGGTGGTCTCGGAGAGTGGGGGTGCCTATTGGGGTCAGTGGGGGAGCTGGTCCCCTGGGGGGGCATTGCCACCTCAGTTCACCTCCCCATCCCGACGTCCTCCTCCGCCCACTCCACCACACCACCACTCAAACAGGGTTTTGGGGTTCAGGTGCACTACTGAGCTACGGGGAGAATCATCCATCTCCGTGGCTGGTGGGGTCCTGGGCCCTAATTTTAATATACAACCTAGACACTGACTTATAACACTCTCACGACACATGCACATATAGGATCTGGAGTGGACACATGATCGCACTTAGGTGGTGGGATGTACAACCATTTCCACCTCCCCGGACCTGTGCCCACTCTCATATGTAGCATGTAGACATTTAGGGTTCTGGACGGAGATGAGGGGTGAACGGGCGCCGCCTGCTCTCTGGGCAAGAGGTGGGTCTGTGCCGGTCGCCACCTCATCCCCCCATTTTAAACGCACTGTATAACAACATGCATCAACACCATATTCGAGTGGGAGGAGGAGGAAGTGGGTCTGTTCATAATTTATTTATGCATATATAGATTTTTTTTTTTTTTCCCCTTTCACAAACACCTCCTTTTTCCGTGTGACACTAGGGGTCGGGAATGGAGGGGGGGGGGCGCATTGTTGGGGTCTGGGCTGTGGGTGGGCTTTGGGCCTTGGGGGCGGTTAGTGATGGGGCCGGTACTTCGGTTCCTCCTGGGCTGTTCCGATTCTTTTAATCTAGGTTCCTGGTTGCGATGGCCGGCACTTTGACCGGGGTGGCTGCCGGCTTTCGGCGGGGGGGTCGGCTATGGTAGTGAACGTGTGGTCATTGGTGGTGTAGGGCGGCGGTTGGGGGTGTGGCTTCGCCTCATCGGGGCACTGGCTGGTCTTCCTGTGTGGCATTTGCGGTGGGGGTGCTGTGTGTGTGTGGGGGGGTGTAGGTGGCGTGCTGGGGCGTCTCCGGACCTATGGTGTGGAGCTCTTGATGTGAGAGCCGGCCCTCCTCAGCTGCAGCTCCCTGCTGCTCTGCCCCTTGGGCTGGGGCCGGCCTGTGGTCGCTGTCAGGTAGATGGTGCATGCGGTCGGCCCGACAGAGATTCTGTCGGGCTATCTGTGTGTGCCTGTTGGTTGCTCAGGTTGGGTTTTTGGTGGTCCCCCCTCTCTTAGATCAATTTGGGCCCCGCGTTTGGTGTGGGGCCCACTCCCCCCGGTCGTGCCCCCCTTTGGCGGGGGGCCCCCTTGCCGCCGGTGCATTGGTGGCTCTCGGCATCTGGGCTGGGTGGTGGGGTGTACGTCGGTCCGCCCTGGTTGCTGCCTGGCGGGGCCTGGGTGCCCTGGCTCTGTCGGGGCTCTGCTGGGGGGTGGTATGGCCTCGGGGCTTGGGGCTCGGTGTCCATGGCCGGATCTACTTGGGGGGG